GCCGCCGCCGGAAGGAGAGGGCGGCATCGAGCTCCTGTGGGCGATTCCCGGAGAAATTCGGTGCAGCGAGAAAAGGGCGAGCAAGGCATTGAGCCTGACTTGGGCGGTTCTTCTCCGAGAAAGCCGGGGTCCGAGTTCCTTCTCCCCGGGCTCCGAGTTCCTTCCTTAAACTTAATGGAACAAGCGTGGAGCGATGGTTGGGTTGCGTGGTGGTGTGCGTGGTAGGTGCGCGCGCCTACTTTCGCCTGAGGCAGAATCTTTCTTTTGGTTTGTTTAGTTCATAAAAGTGTTGCACTTTACATTCTTAATTTTCATCCTGAGTATTCTCTCCCTGGAATGTAGTTGTTTTTTTTTAAAAGCGGAAGGAGAGTTTTGCTTGGAAGTGGCTTAACAAACTTGGCACCGAGATGCAGGGAAGCGACAGACTCATTTTGTGCTCGTTAAGGCCGAGCGTGGCATTTGCAAACACACGTGGGATATACAAGCCTTGGATGCAGAGGTGTGTGACCTTATTCATGGAGAAACATTTGCAGGTGCTATCAAATGTTTATGGTCTGCAACCTCAGACACTTCCACTAAGCCTGAGTGATGTAAGGTCTTGGGGAAAAGGATAATTAATTGAGTAGGGATATGCATTTATAGCTTCCGCAGACCAAGTTTTGCAGCAGGTGATCTGGAGGAATCTGACTTGCATAGATTTATCTCCATGAGATTTGGGAAGCATAGAAAATTTTCAGGTAGCTGTCAATTTAAAATTTCATCCGAAAGAATTAACCTGTCACTACCAGTTGGTTTGCCAGTGACGTGTCTGCAAACTTAAGGAGTGCAAAGATCAGAAGCTGAGAGGGAAATTCTCAGATCTTATTTAAAAATATTTTGGCAGTCTTAATAGGTAATATTAGATTGCATAGGAACAAGAACGGAATTTAAAATAGATTAGTCATGTAGGAAATGCTAGGCTGTTTTGTTAGAAAAGTATGCACGCAGTGAATTACCTTCTTGGATTTTACTTTTTTGAAAATTTCTTGCAAAACATACCAAATTATGACATGTCATAATTTATGTGTGGGTTTTAAGAAGTATTGGAAGAGAGGATGCATAGGATTTATTATCTATTTTGGGTGGAGGCTGATGTCTTCCTGAAGACTTATGAGAGCTGCTTCTAATCTAAGTACCAGTAAAAGTGATTCTTAGATTCAAGGGTATCCTTTTTTCCTCCATTTTCCAGTATTTAAGATATTTAAGTCCTTTTATTAAGTTTTAAAAATTATATTGTCCTTACAGGTATTAACATGCATATAAGGGTTCTCTTGAGAATTTGTAGATGTCTGGCAAGGTCAGCCTTCTTTATTCCTGATTGGGTATTAGATATTAGAAAATTAGGTCTTGAAAGAAAATCATTTCAAGGAACCATTGGAAGGTTTGTTGTTTTAATTTTATTATCTTTAGCATCTAGCACAAAAGTTAATATGCCATCTCGGTATTAGAAAGTTGTTTTCCTTTGCCCTGGTGGTTTCCTGCTGTATGTGAATGTATCAATAATATTGAGAATAATAAAAACATTGAGGCATTGTAGATTTTTATTTTATTTCATTCTGCCTGCTGATTAAAATGACAATTTTTAGGAGTACTATAGCTGATGTAAGGAAATTTAGTGAGCTTACATATTTGATAAATAATATGCTATATTTAATGCATATTTTTATTTCAGAATTATTAATTGAATACTCTCAGCTAAATTAATTTAAAATAGTCCTTTTTATGATTAGTAAAGAATATCATTACCCTATAGGAAAGTTAATAGATTTTCATTCTCCTTTAGAGAATCATTTAAAGCATTAGATATTTTCTTTTAATTCTGCGTTAAGATTGTATTGGTGTATTATCAAGGATTTGGGGGGAGTTTGCACTGTGGATGCTTTGAAGGAAGAAATTGTATATATTACAAAGTGGTGAAGACTTTTGAAGAATTTATTGCATTAACTTTAAATATTTAAAGCAAAAGATGTTTTGATGGAAACAAGTATGTCAGGATTTTGTCTGTTGACTTAGACTCTGTTTTAAGACGTGGGCCTCATCAATATCATTATTTTAAGTCTAGTTGTGTTCGTGTTATTCATGTGCATTATTGGAAAAGAAAGCTCGGTAAAATTTACCTTTAAACGTGAAGCTGTATTCTGGATACCACAGAACCATGATATATTTTGTTATTTGTGGAAATGACCATTTTATATTATGTTCTGAACGGTTTAAGATCTTGCTAATGTATAATCAACTTGTGTATGCATATTTTGTTGTGGAGTTTACTAAGTATATTAAGGAATAAATAATACCCACTCATGGATAAGGTTGGTAACCCCATTGCTTTGGATTTAGTTTTACCTGCTTTGTAAATTCTTTTTAGTAGACTAAGAACAGTACAGTATATTAAATATAAATTTCCTTTCTGATCTGATATGTTCAGTAACTAGTAGAATATGTTCTCTTAAACTTAATGGAACAAGTGGTATATTAGAGAAGTTGATGTTGGGAATAAATAGTAATCTTCATCTCAGAATTCTCATGGCTAAAACATATCATCAAGCTTTCAAATTATTGTCAGTTCTCAGTGAATTATATTTAGGGGACTGTGCAGTAATTAACAGTATGTTAATTTAATAACTTTTAAGGAGAAATTTCTGTAAAAGAAAATTTATACTGCATACATAGTACATGATCAGAGGGCAATTAATGTTTGTTGAATAAATTGCTGATTGAAGAATATCCAGCCATATTACATGAAATACTAGTATTTACCTGCTGGTATTATAGTTAATGTACAGTTATTGTTTAATTGCAAAATAAATCTTTTAATGTTTTCTAATTTTGATAAATTTAAACTTAGACTGTAAGAAATTTCCAGTTTATTCAGAATTCAATAAAGAATCAACAGATAATATTTTAAGTTTTCCAAATTACGATTAATTCATTAGAAACTAATGTTTAATTCATAGCTATGACAGTAATAAGATCCAAAAATATCTTTAAAAAGTATAACACAGGATGCTTACTAATAAATGTTCCTGGGTAAATCATTTGCTACTTGAAACATACACAGGAATTTAATGCCTAGGCCAACCCCACAATCTAAAGTAACCCATGATGTAACTGAATTACATTTAATTATTTAGTTTGAGTTCTAGGATTAGGACAAAAGTGAGAAGAATTTATTTCCTCGGCTTACGGTTCATCCTTCCCTAAGCCAAATTCTGTCTTTTCATAAACTTTTTCAGTTTCAACCTATACACATTACACCCTTCTTCTCAGCCTTCAAGCTGTACGGTTCCAAACTTGGTGGTACTTCATAAGTTTTTAAATGTAGTCTCTCTGCCCTCAGATTTCCTATTTCCTTCTTTGCCATTTCCCATCCCTATCTTTCGTTCCGTTAGTATTCATCAGATCTCATCTAGATATGAAGAGGAAAACAATCTGGTGGAACCAATTCACCTTTATCTGAAAATGACTCATGAACTAACTCTTCCCAAGTTTTTTTCACATTTCTTATGTCTGTAAGAGGTGGTTGTTAACATAGAAAATTTTAAATTAAAAATTTCTGGCCATATTAGTAGTAAGGAATTTAAGTTCTCTGCATAAATAAGTCAGATCTTACTGGGATTTTGCCCTTGTTTTCTCCCTGCTCCTGGGAGAGTCTCTCTTCTTTGGAATGCCACAGACTCCATAAAAGTGTATATACTCCCATTGTGTGCGTATGTGAGAGAGAGACAGAGAGAGAAGGAGGGAGGGAGGGGGAGAGAGAGGTCTAGATATGTATTTCCTGTGTCATGAAGAGGAGAATTTAAGAGTGGTGATTATGAATCCCTTTGAATATAACAGTCCTTTAGAAGATTGATATTTGTTATTTAGAGAAAACTTATACTGCATTTTAATTTATAGGAACCAAGAGGAAAAAGACTTCGGATTTCTCATGTCCAAAATTGACTTGGAGCTGGACTAACATAACACTAATCACTTGTAATTTCATATTTGGGAGAACATCCTTTAATCTCTTGGAAAAGTATCCATGTTATGAGATTCCATCATATAGCCTTATAAGAAAGAAGAAATAATGAGGATGAGAGAATGAAAAGGATTGTAGATAAAAAAGTAGGATGTGCTGTTATTAGATTGGTAATTGACTGGGACACAATTTATAGAGATGGCATACTTTTTGGAATATGAAAGGAGCCTGCCGACTAGATTCTGACTCAAACGTTTGGTTTCATATAATGCAGCCTTTATAGAAATGTTACACTACACTGAATACTGTGCTAGGAATAGAGGGGTTAAAAGGTGAATGAGACCTAATTCCTACCCTCAGAAAGCTTATAACCTAACGGTAAGCTGTCCTGCAGGGCCAGGTAAGGCTGCTTCTCTCTTTTGTGACTCCTCATGTATAACACTTAGCATGGCATTTATCACATGTATTTAAGTGTCTGTGTTTCATTGTCTCTTCCCTCTTAACTGATTCTCCATGAAGGACCATTTTCCCCATCTTATCCCTACGACTGGCTCAGTAAGTGGCATATTTGAATAAGAAAATAAAATGAGAGAGAACATATTGTGGAGTTCAGAGAAGAGAAGGGACACCCACAACTGTGGAGGTGTATGGGAAGGAGGATATCTGGCACGCGGTCAGGGAAGCAGTAGGCACATTTGAGGAATGCCCAGTATATCTTTTTGGTAGGAGCATAGGGGCATGTTAGGGACCAGAGAGAAGGCTGGAAAGGTAGATGTTGGTCTGGTATGAACATATAAGTAGTTTGGATTTCTTTCTCTATGCAGTGGGGAAATTTACACAGGTGAATAAAGAGCCACACCTGTACTTTAGGAAATTAAAGTTGGCATTGCAGTGAGGGATGTATTGAAGGTGAGGAAGTTGTTTTCAAAGTTGGGACAAGAAGTGATAAAAA